TTGCATTTTAATTAGAATTAAATGAGAATGTATCATAGTTCAAATTTATATCAAATGCAGTTAGTTACAATTTAGAGTGCTTTTTCACTTTAGAAGGATTTCATTTGATTATTTTTATTAAAAGCTTTTATGGTAAACTAAAATATATTTTAATGTAATTCCTATCAAAATTTGTATGCCATTTATTTAAATATATTTATAATTACATATTAGATGTGATGATTTTCAAATGTACACTTAAATATATTTAATTATTTAAAGTTCCCTACAATTGCACATTCAATACAGTTAAGCACACTTCTTCTTTTTCATGAGGGTTTTTAAACTGCATGCCAAAAACAGAAGTGGAATTTAATTAAATCTTTACAGAAATCTTGACAAATCCTATTGTGAATAAACATTTGTTTTGGCTACATTTTGCTCTGAAATATTGGGAGTGCAATCTTTAAAATGATAATTTATCTTATCTAAATTATCTTATATAATTACTTTATCTAAAAATCTCAGTCATGTATTAAGTGGTGTACAATCAGATGAACAGCCATTATTGTAAGACAAAATCCTGATCACCCTCGTGTGTTCATTTTAGATAATGAGCAGCTGACTCTATGTTACTTATTTAACATTTCATAATTTTTGCATTGTGTCATGTCTCAGGACCTGGTGATATGAAACTGCACTGCTGTGTGGCAGCGTACGTATCGGACTACTCTTTCCTGGGCACGGCCCTGTTACCTCACCCGAATCACAGGGCCCAGTTTTCCGCCTCGCTGGATCATGCCATGTGGTTTCACAGCACATTCAGAGCAGACGAGTGGATGCTGTATGAATGCGAAAGCCCGTGGTCAGGTCAGCAGTTTATGCAAGTTTATGGAGTTCTTTAGGAACGAACATGTGCCTGATGACTTGTCTAGGATGGTATATGATAAAACGAATAACTTGTGATCTGTGAATATTTTAATATACCTTTATTTCCTATCAGGAGGGAGCAGAGGCTTCGTCCAGGGCCGCTTGTGGAGGCAGGATGGCGTTCTCGCAGCTTCCTGCGCACAAGAGGGAGTGATACGAGGGAAGACTGTTTCTCAGAGTAAATTATAGAGGATTCAAAATATATTACTAAATAGTATCAGATTCTTGAGATGCCTTACAATTAGTGCTGTCAAATTATTAATCGCATCCAAAATAGTAGTTTTGCTTAAGCTGCGTCTGAAAGCCTATTTATTAAGCATATATAAATACACACACATGCATTTAAGAAAAATATATTGTTTATATATTAAATATATTTATATATAATATAAATTATATGAATATAAATCCATACATATATATATATATATATACTGTATGTGTATTTATACATAAATATACTATATAAACTACATAAAACTTATTTTGGATGCGATTAATTGGGATTAATCGGTTGACAGCACTACTTACAATAGTTTTTTTGTTTATTTGTCATAATTATTACAACGCACAATCAATGTCAAGATTGCATTTGGTCTGCAGTGCTATAGAATATGGCAGTATATGAAATAACAACACTTTATGATTTTCTTTTTTGTCCCTTATGCTAAACTGAATTAGATTAATCCTGTTTAAAAGTGTACATCATAAATGAGGAAATGTCTTTGCAAATGAGTGTATATTTAACAATGGGATTTAGCATCTTCTTTTTTGCATTTTTGTTTAGTTATGACCAAAACACTTGAAGTCTTGCATGACAAACTCCAGTTATACAGCGATTGTACATTTACAGGCACTTTAATTATTTATATCATTATTTATAATTATTATCAATAAACATAACAATCTGAGGTTGTGTTGTACGTTTTGTTTCTTTGTTTGTTTGTTTGTTTTTTGTGTGTGTGTTGTTCATTTGTTTGTTTTTTTGTGTGTGTTGTACGTTTGTTTTTTTGTGTGTGTGTGTTGTACATTTGTTAGTTTTTTGTGTTTGTGTGTTGTACGTTTGTTTGTTTTTGACGTTTGTTTGTGTTTGTGTTTGTGTGTTGTACGGTTTTTTGTTTGTTTGTTTTTTGTGTTTGTGTGTTGTACGGTTTTTTGTTTGTTTGTTTTTTGTGTTTGTGTGTTGTACGTTTGTTTGTTTTTTGAGTGCGTGAGTTGTACGTTTGTTGTTCGCAAAATCATTGGGGTAATAAGATTTTATTTTGTCATGGGACTCGCCGTGCAGGAGGTGTCGCTCTTTTATTCGGTCAAAATTTCAATGGATCAGTTATTGATTTATTTTGTCTTCGTCAGAAGGAAGATGGTTAATGGTTGTGATACAAATGGATGAATCTTATTTTATCTTAGTTAATGTATATGGTTTTAATAGATCTCTTATGTCAGAGATTTCTTTGCTTGTTCTTGAAAAACGGCACGAGTTCCCCTCTGCTTACTTGATTCTTGGAGGAGATTTCAGTGAAGCCCCTGATTATTCTGAAGACCGATATCCTCCAAGAAAATGTCAAAATACGGTCATTTCTGTCGATCTCTAGATTTGATTGATGCATTCAGATTTCTGTATCCTTGTTCCACCTCATTTACAAACTCAAAAATCTCGCATTGATTTATGGCTAGTCTCTGTTTCTTTGATTTCATCTTTGTCTCTTGTAATCCTTCACCACTAACTGATCATTGTGGTATTGATTTAATATTGAAGCCAAAAAATTCTAGAACCTATAACCCTGGCTGCTGGAAATGAAACTGTTCCCTGCTTCTTAATGATTCTTACGGCGCAGCTATAAAAAAAAAAATCAATGATATCAAAACAAGGACAGATGTATCTTTTATTGCCAAATGGGAGCTCCTTAAATTTGAGTGCAGAAAATGATCAATTTATTTGAGTAAAAAACTTAAATATGCAAAATAAAATATAAATATGCAGTTTTACTTAAGCATATTTCTGATCTTTTAAATAAACAGCTCTCAGAAGAAGATCAAAACAGGCTATTTTCTTTACAAGAGGAATTCAATTCCTTGTATCTTGAAAAAGCAACGGGAGCTTTTGTAAGATCTAGAGCCAAATGGCTTGAATTTGGCGAAAAAAATTCAGCTTGCTTCTTTAATCTTGAAAAACAACATGGACGAAAAAGGTCAATTCACTCCCTTCAAATTGATGGCTCTATTTCCTCTTGTAAAACTCGGATATCTCAATTTGTTTTTAATTTTTTTTAAATGATACTCTTCTGCGTTTGATAATCTTGTGGCTGATTCCTTTTCTTGATAAAGTAACTCCCTTTATTCCTCAAATCTCGGGACGTAATAAATCAGTTTGTGATGTTCCACTTATGCCTTTTGAATTGTATAAGGTTTTCTGGGATCACATTAAGGACTTGCTTTTTGAGGCTTTAAAAGAATGCATAGATCAAGGAGAACTAACCACCTCTATGAAACAAGGTTTAATCGTTTTAATTCAAAAGCCAAACAAAGACATTCTTAATTTAGATAACTGGAGACCTATATCTCTCCTTAATAGAGATGATAAGATTCTGGCAGCCGTGTATGCAAATCGTCTTAAACAATGTCTAGAAGAAGTACTTTCAGAAACACAGTCTGGTTTTATGAAAAATCGACATGTTTCCAATAATATTCGCCTTATTTTAGATTTATTCGATTATTCTGATTTGGTTAGTAATGATGCTCTTATTCTTTTTTTGAATTTTTAAAAAGCATTTGACACCGTTGAACATAATTTTATTTTTAAAGCTTTAGTTAATTTGGGGTTTGGTAATAATTTTATTTGTGTTGTTAAACCTTTATACAATGATATTAATAGCTGTGTTTCTCTTTCCAATGGCACTTCTCCAAGATTTTATGTTATTAGACAGGGATGTCCCATTTCTCCCTTTTTGTTTTTACTCGCTGCAGGAATATTGAATCTGTATGTAGTTAATTTCACTGGTTTAGAAGGAATTCAAATTGGAGAGGAAAAATTAATCATAACTTCATAAGTCAATTGGCTGATGATACATGCATTTTTTTTTAAAGAATCAATGTCAAGTAAATTTGATAATTCTCAGTCTAAATGATTTTTCCAAAGCCTCTGGATTAGTAGTTAATACTAAAACAGTGAAATAATGTTTATCCATGATTCTGCAGTGACCTCTGTTGATGGAATTTTAGTAGAGGATGTTGTTAAATACCTTGGTGTTTAAATCTGTAAATCAGCCCAAGAAAGAATTTCTAAATTAAATTAGATTCTGCCAGACGTATATTCAGTTTGTGGTTACAAAGAGATCTTACAATTTATGGCAGAATTTTGAAGGTGTTTCACGCTTTATTTATCCTTCTATACGCCTTTATATTGATTCTAACACTTGTAAATCTATTGACTCTCTTCATTTTAAATTAAGGTGGAACACATCAAAAAAATCCCTAACACAGTCATAATCAAAGGGACGGCTGAATGTGTTAGATGTTTTTATTAATAAATATGGCATAAATGTTTCAAAATGGGACTATACTGTTCTTACAAATTCCATTCGTCCTAAGTTGTTCTTTTTAATGAAGTCTTCTAAAATATATTGTAATTTTAGTTTAATTATCCCTCAACTATTTATTCAAGGGGTTAATATTATGGATAATAAGTGCACAAACGCATTTTTTAGAAACTTTGTTATTGCTAATAATGCTTCATCTTTTAAAGCTTATGGAAATGTTAATTTTCAGAAGGCATGGACAGTGCCAAACTAATTTTTGTTTAATAATAAAATAAAAGAAGTTCATTTTAAAATGATTCATCATTATTACCCCTGCAGCAAATATTTAAGTAAATTCATACAAAATCTTTCTCCACTCTGCTCTTTTTGCCAAGAAGAGGAAGAATCTCTCTCACATTTATTCTATTTCTGTCGTTATACGAAACAATTCTGGCTTCAAATTTCCCCATATGTTCTTGTTGTAATGTTAATCTGTTTCTTTCTGATATTGCTGTTTAAAAAAAAAAAAAGTTTGTTCGCGTGGAGACCGTGGCACGCCGGAAGTGACGTCTCAAACGCGGCCGTTAAACGGTTTGTAACCGCTAGGTGGCCATTCCGCGGAGCCCGATAGCGTTTAAAGCTGCGAGGGTTCGTGTGTTTGGTTATTATTTACTAAACTTCAACCATGCCGCGAGTGTACATCGGCAGGCTGAGCCATCATGTGCGAGAGAAGGACATACAGCGGTTTTTCGGCGGCTACGGGAAGCTTTTAGAGATCGATCTGAAGAACGGGTGAGTTTTATTAATGCGAGGCCGCGGCCTCATAATGACAACAGCTCTACATGTTCAATGCATTTTGTTGTAAAAAAATAAATATACTATTTGATAATGCATTGAAGAAATCACGCGCGATGGGATGCGTTTTAAATGCTTCATGTGGTGACTGGTTAGTTGTATTCCTCTAAGTTAGTCGAGGTTCTTACCGCGTGTTCAAAATGGCGGAGGGTTTGTTGTGCACAGCGCTTGAGCTTCTTTCATACGACCAGATGGTATTTATTAAAGCTTTTAACTTGGTCCGTGATTCTGAGACACAATATATCATTCCGAAGGGTGATCGTTTATGTAAGAGTTGGTCGACTAGTTAATACAGACACTAAACCAAGTTAGCAGCGCTGACCTAAATTCGCAAACGCTACAGCGACGCATCGGTGTTGGTGTGTCGGGCGCATTATTTCTTCCACACTTAGTCGATGTATTTATAAATGCACATTTTGGATACGTCTTGTGCTATTTCTCCATTATGTAGAATGGGGCCCGTGCAATTTCTGTATGCGTGAAATACCCGGATGACCCCACTACATCTGCCAGAATGCACAGCGTTTGTTCTGCCAACATGGCGCTCGACACCGAGCAGTGTAATGCAAGTTAAACCGTATTGAACAAAGCACTAATGCGAGTACATAAAATCAACTTTTTTTAAATTTTTATTTAGGCTACTTACCAAAATCTGTCAATTCAAATACAACTAGACAAATCAATTGGATTAAAAAAACACACGCACACACTACTGTGTATACATGAATTTATTAGTGCTGTCAAACGATTAATCGCATCAAAAATAAAAGTTGTTGTTTACATGCTGTGTGTACTGTGTATATTTATTGCATGTGTGCAGCATCTTTGTTTGGATCATGATTAAAATGCAGTGGTTGCCTCTAATTTTAAATGGAAAGAGCACAGACAAAGCCTTAGTTTGTTTATATGAAGATATTTATTTTATTTGGAAATGTACAGTATTTTGAACAAGCAATAATAAAAGGACACATTTAATTTATAATTTGTCTTAAATCTCATTTTGTTAAAAAAAAAATCGTGAATCGAATCGTGAGTTGAGTGAATCGTTACTAGAGCCCGACAGATATGGGTGTTTTGGGGGCCGATACCGATGTTAGGGAGTAAAAAAGACAGATACCGATATATCGGCCGATATTCTTTGTGTAGGCTATATTATAGTACAGTATAGTCAAAAGTTTGGACACTTCCCATTCGTGTGTCCAAACTTTTGACTGGTACTGTATATAGAATACAGTATATAGCCTACATAAACAGAATATATACATAAACACATTTTTTGCAATAACTCAAATGTGATCAAACACTTATAATGATGTGACAAACATAGGCCTATGTAATGGAGGCAGGGTATTTAACAATTTAAACTTTATTATTCAAAGTGAGTCTGACATCAGTGCACTTAACGGTAAACTTCACTTCACTTATTATAAGTAACTTAACACAAATAGAACAAAATATATATAACCTGAATTAAGAAATTAAACAAGGTAACTGTGTAGGGCAAGCAAGATACTGCCAAACCAACAGGGGCAGGTTTATGCAGGAAGCACAGCTTTTCCAAATATAAACATCTAAAATGAATAAATAATAATGACGAATAAGATGTTTTTTCACAAACTGTTATGTATTTTCTGGTAATCCAAAAACATGCAGGACATTCGTATTTAAATCGTCTTTTTGCAGTTTAATATTCACAGTCTATATATATGTACTGACCTGTTTATTTATTCATCAAAGATAAGACAAATTCCATGAAATTCCGCATTATACAGTAAATTCCGTTTTTATGACTGGAGCAAACGAATATAAGCTCATTGTGAGAGTAAAAGGGGACATTGATGTTTATTTACTTGGCATTGTGTCTCTCCAACTAGGTGACAACGTAGCGTTAAATCACCATTCAACAGACTCAAGCCTCCACCGCACTGCCGTCTATTGGACTGCAGACGCCGGCCAAAGCATAGCTTATTTATTCAAATCAGCTGGGGAAATGCAGAACAATGGAAAATCAATCAATAGCCTGACAGAATTCTTAATCTTCATATAACGTTAGCCAACATATTAAAACACAAGTCAAAAACAATAGGAAGGTTTATCAAGAAATAGCATTAAAACGGCTTTTAAAAACATACTTCGTGTAGGCTATATTGTCTAAAAGCAAAACATTGCAACAATGCCCATTTTACTTACTCAGACTATGCGTTATTTGTTCAGTGAAATTATCAACGTGGTCTGGTGAAAGACGGGACCTGAGGCGATTGACAGTAAAATTCCTGCATTTGAAAAAACGCGCTTAAAATGATGGTAATTTGAATGATAAAATCATGTTTTTGTTTTTCTTTTCTTTTTCTGTCGTGTAATCGACTGTTGTTTTCAGTGTCAACTAGTAGGAGCTGTACCGATTAGTCAACTAGACCCGCACATCCCTAGTCTGCGCCGCAACAGAACGCGACAAAGCGCCCGTTGAAAATCATTTGAACTTCTGTCAGCACGTCATAAATAGAACGAGGCATCAGTTTACTGAATCCGGTGTAGACAACATAATGGGTTCTATTCTACACCGGACGCGAGCGGCGCGATGTGATGTGACCGATGTGGTAAGCATGAGTTCTGGGCCGCGGCGCGGCCGGTAAACACCAGCAT